TTGGGCACCAAAGAAGTCTTCAATAGGTCAATGGGCTGAAGAGTGGCAGATGGATCTTAATTTGGATAAATTTGAGGTATTGCATTTCGGTAAAACAAATAATGCAGGACATACACAATTAATGGGAGAGCCCTGGGTAGTGTTGTAGAACAGAGACACTTAGCGTACTGGTATATAATTCCTTGAAGTTTGCATTATATATAGATAGGGTGGTTAAGGTGTTTAACTCATTTGTCTTCATTGCTCAGACCTTTGAGTATAAGAGTTGGGATGTCATGTTGAGGCTATACAAGATGTTGGTGAGGCCTCTTCTGGAGTACTGTGTCTAGTTCTGGTCACCCTGTTACAGGATGGATATTATTAAACTGGAGTGGGTTCAGGAGAGATCTACCAGGATGTTGCCAGGAGAAGCTGGACAGGCTGGGACATTTTTTCACTGAAATGTAGGAGGTGGAAGGGTGACCTTATAGAGGTTGAGAAATTACAAGAGGTAGAGAAAGATGAATGGCAGATTTTTTTTCTTTAAAGATTTCAAGACTAGGGGGCATATTTGTAAGGTGAAAGGGAAAAGATTTAAAAAAAGGGATGGGGTAATTTCTTTTTTTACACAGAGAGTGGTTCATGTGTGGAATGAACTTCCAGAGGAAGTGGTGGATGCAGGTGGTTACAATGTTTAAAAGCCATTTAAATATGTACATGAATAAGAAAGGTTTGGAGGGCTCTGGGCCAAGCGCAAGTAGGTGGGACCCGTTTAGTTTGGCATCATGGTCGGCATAGACTGGTTGGACCGAAGGATCTGTTTCCGTGCTGTCTGACTCTGTGACTTAAAAGGCTCATCCTTTCAACTTATTTTCTCATGTTAAAATAAAAGTTTAATCAGATTATGGTCAAAACCATCTTTAAAAAATCTTAGTATTTCATAACAAGAAAGTCATTGTTAGTTATAAGTGAGTACTGTTTCTTTGACTTCAATCGCGATGCTTGGATAAACACTGCTGAATAAATGTGAAACAATTCATGCAGATTTAGACAAAGCATTGGTAGCAGTCACATCTCATCATCCCTCACACACAGCTTCACTGCACATCTTAGAATCTTACAGCAAAGTACTGACTGTTTGAAACATCCCAGTGGAGTGGATGTAAGTCACCTTGTCAGAATAACCATGATCAAGCTTCTGAGGGGGTCACACTAGGTTAACTGGTTAGTGTTACAAATGTATCTTTAAGTTACGTATTCATTGCTGGAAGAACAGTTCTGTCACCATTTAATAATAAAAATGATCACAAATTGGAAAGTTTTTTTTTAAAACAAACAGAAGAATATAATTCTGTTAACTGGCTTGGTCAAGGCAGATTGACAAGGTTGAAACCCTTCTCAGAGAGCACAGAAGTGATATTATCAGAGCAAAAAGATCTGAGTAGTATATCAATACAATGTGATAAATATGACATGAATTAGTGAGTAACATCCCCTTGATATCCCTGTGCAGACAAGATGGCAGCGTGTCATCTCCTTTCAGTTCAATGACAGACGTGAGATAGTAATTCCTGACTAATGTTCACTCTGCTCATGAGTTGTCAGAGTGCATTGGAGTCAGTGCTGAGATGCTGGTGGATTCTGTCGTATTCAAGCTCATTTGAGTGGGTGACAATTCTAAGTTACACTTGTCAGGAGCCAATTAAGGCTATGTGAGACGACATGTGAGAAAGGTGAGCCAGGAGGATGTCACTTTTGACGACCTTCACTTGAAACAAGTATCAGTAAACGGTTGGGAACTTGTCACTTTGGCCATTGATTTTGATAGCTGCTCAGGCAAGTGCCGTCATATCTTATAAGGCGACCCACCTTTCTGTAATGGAAACTATGATACACGGTTGTATTATTTACAAAGGGAAAATTATTTCCAGTGCCCACAGAGGTTTGTATCTGATCCTTTAACTGGAAGAGAAAGGTTGGAGAATTTAAGTTGAAATAAACATTTTTGATGAAAACAAAGGAAGAAAATCTTGCACTTATATAGCACCTTCCCCAACCACAGGATATCCCAAATCTCCAGTCTGTAAAGCACCTTTGAAGTGTTGCCATTGTTACAATATAGGCAACAGCACTGTCAGAACCATGCAACTTTGTAAACATCTTCATTGCAATACAACAGAGTCATAGAGACATACAGCGCAGAAACAGACCCTTCTGTCCTACTCATCAGTGCCAATTAAATATCCTAAACTGATCTAGGTCCCATTTGTCAACAATTGGCCCATATCCCTCTAAACACTTCCCATTCATCTACCCATCCAAAAGCCTTTTAACTCCTGTAATTGTACCTGCCTCCACTATTTTCCCTGGCAGGTTGTGCCATACATGCTCCACCCTCTCTGTGAAAAGGTTGCTGCTCAGGTCTCTTTTACATCTTTCCCCTCCTACCTTAAACCTGTGCCCTCTAGTTTTGGATTCCTCTACCCTGGAAAAAAGACCTTGTACATTCACCCTATCCATGTCCCTCATGATTTTATAAACCTCTATAAGGTCACCCCTCAGCCTCCGATGCTCCAGGGAAAATAGCTCCAGTCTATTCAGCCGCTCCCTATAGCTCAAATCCTCCAATCCCGGCCAAATCCTCGTAAATCTTTTCTGAACCCTTTCAAGTTTCACAACATCTTTCACATAGCAGGGAGACCAGAATTGATCACATTATTCTAAAAGTGTTCTAACCAATGTCCTGTATGGGCACAACATGACATCCCAACTTCCAAACTCAATGCACTGACCAACGAAGGCAAGCATGTCAAATGCCTTCTTCACCACCCTGTCTACCTGCGACTCCACTTTCAAGGAAGTATCCACCTGCACCTCTAAGTTTCTTTGTGCAGCAACATTCCCAAGGGCCATACCACTAACTGCATAAGTCCTGCCCTGATTTGACCTATGAAAATGCAACACCTAACATTTATTTAAATTAAACCCCATCTGCAACTTTTCGGCCCATTGGCCCATCTGGTCAACATCTCATTGTGCTCTGAGGTAACCTTCTTCACTGAACACCAAACCATCAATGTTGGTGTCATCTCCAAACTTACTAACCATACTTCCCATGTTCACATCCAAATCACTTACATAAAAGACAAAAAGCAGCAGAACCAGCACCGATCCTTGCAGCACACCACTGGTTGTGGGCCCTCGGTGATGACTGAATATTTGGGCTGCTTTTCTGTATATTGCTATACTGATGGTGGAGAGCCCAGCCAGGCTGAGGTGAGCCTGTCAAGAGTGTAGACTGGGGGCTGGTGTAGCCATTTGCCACAACGTTGTGTTCATTAAAATAAATGAATGTAAAAATGGCAGGTTGAGATTTGCCCTTTTTGCGATGATGGGTATGTGATCGTGTACCAATCAGCTTGATAGGAGCTGACAAGTCAGCACGGGCACATTCCTTGGCTTATTGGATGGTTTCAGTACTGCCCTTCCTCATCACCAAATGCCAGTCTGAGGCCAGGAAACTTCAGTGCTCTAAAGACAACTTCTTGATGTCTACTTATTTGTAGTATTCTAGAACATGAAGGCAAGTGATATCTACCTTCTTACCATGGAGTGAGGGTCACAGGAAAGGAAGACTGATGGTGGCTTTCAGATGCAAAATCCTTGCCCGAAATCTATGTTGTTGCTTTCCCTTTCTAACAGTTTCATCAACCATACACCCTTTTTGGCCATCAGGATGAGGCTGCTTTGTGTTATCAATCCTTATTATTTCATTGCTACCCATTTCAGGATTCAAATGAGTGAATTTCACAGTTCCTTGATCCCCCAAAAGGTCCCACCACCCCCCACCGAAACTGTCTTCCATTAAACAGCGGGTGGGAAATGCGCCAGCAAGTGTGCCTGCCCTTGGGTGTATTGGGGTCCTTAAGTGATTAAGGACTGGCCACTCAAAGGCTGGCCAGTACAACTGTATGTGTGTGCTGTGACACACACACAAACGTGCGCGCACACACGCGCGACGTCACACGACTTGTCCAAAGGCAGAAGTCACTAATTTCTTCAACTCCAGGGATTGCCTGTAGTCCCAGCAATGGCTATTTCTCAATTTTAGCACTGCAAGGATCAGTCCATAATTTCTAAACTCACATAATCCCAATTCTTCCCTCTTAAAAATCTCCTCAAAATATTTATACCATCTTATATAATTTTGGTCTTGATTTGCAATTGCAGGCAAAGCAAGAGTGCTTTCTGTTGACGTTGAAGAGTCCCTCACTAAGAGATCTAATAACCTGTATGGTCGGAACGTCACTTGTCATTGTGCAGTGAATTGCAGCCTCATAATGGACTCTCAGTAGGGAATCATATTGATGCAGTCAAACTGTCTATGGGACAATCAGATTAAAAAGATTACTTTCCTTAACTAATTAATTTCAGCTCTTCCATGAAGAGTTTGTACATCCTTGCTTTGGTCTGGAAGAATTTGAGCAGTAAATTTCTGTTGTGTTAAATGTGGAATGCAAGCAAAAGTAAATTTTTTGAAAGACATTAAGATTCCCTTCACTCATCCAGCTCCCAGTGCTCTGTCCAAGTCATATTCAGTGTTAAGTGGCACTGAGATACCTGTATATAAATGTTCTATGTTAGCTCAGCTTCAGATACAGAAAAAAAAAGTTTAAACTAGTTTCCTCAGTTAACCAACTAATTAACTAAAATTACTTTGCACTGTTTTCTCTTACTTTCAGTGAACTTTATGTATCTTAGTTTTGAGAAATCACTGAAAAGGACCATGAAGTCTCTGAATAAAGATCACCAAAACAGCATAAACAAGAATTAAGTAAATCAGGAAACAGTGATCAGGTGAGGAAATGGGGAGGACTTTAATGTAGAACAAGCTGCTTGTTCAATTTGGTGCTCTCTGCAAGGGGAACAAGCACCCTGCTTATTGGACTGTATTTGTCTTTTTTTTTATTTGCGCACAATCATTTGTCTTTGCTATTGATTTTTCGTTTAAAAAAAATCACCTGTTGCCATGGACGTGAGAGGCACAGAAAGCAAAGCTGTAATGCAGTAGAGTTGGATCGATCATTGTGCCACCTTCTGCACGTTCTATCAGCTCCTTGAGATAGCAGAGATGCCGATGACATCCTCGCAGACCATAACGGGAACAATATTCATCGAGAACAAAAACTTGCCCAGGACTGAACCAACCCTAAGAAGGTAAACAGAACAGAATTTAATTGTAAAAGTCGAGAATTAATCTCAGCCGTTTTCAATTTAGCTGTATCTTAAGTCTGGAATCTCATATTTCAATAGAATAATCTCAATATGAAAAGTACAATAATTAAAGCATTTTCTTGAATGCTTTTGACTGGCTGAGGGTCACAGCAGAACTGATAATAACATTTTGTTTCCTTATCATTTAATTTTTTTTTCTTTCAACACAAGCAATATGAACCCTCTTTTCAGCAGGAATAGCAAGAATGTTATTCTTGTTGATGACAGGCATAACTCAAATACAATGTGACCAGCTTAGAGAGGTATTGCATGTAGCCTCAAGGCTTGGTTAGGGGCTGGCAGAACATGGAACTAGCTGAAGGAGAGATCCAGTGTCTGAATTTGCCTATTAGCCAAATACTTTGATTGCTATAATAAATTCTAAATGATCGTGTTTATTTTATTTTAATCATTAACATGAAATAAAGGAAAGAAATCTTAACAAAAACAATGGACCGACAATAACGGACAAAATATGTAGCACTATGACAATTTGGGGCTCAAATACATTAATTGCAAATAACCAACTGTTTCCTGCATGAACACGACAATGTGCAAAATTGTCCTTAGCTTCTGCTTAGTACAGTGATCATAAAATAGTCAGATGAATCTCTTTAACAATCAAAGTTGAAAATCTTGCACTGCATCAGCAAGAAACTCATAGTAAAACAAGTCTTCTCAATTGGTAAATAAAGTTGGCCCAAATGTCAATATTTTTCATGATCAAGATAAAAAAAAAGCCTATCTGTACAGGGCTGATTTATATATTTATTGCTTCACATTAGAACTGGTCAATTGCCTTGCAAATAGTATCAATGTTTCTGAACAGTCACTGCTACAATTCATAATACTGTTTAGCATCTAACCAGAAATGTTTTGTAAGATTGCACTCTCCAGTAGTTTTTTTATTGTTCATATATGAGTGCCACTGCCTAAGTCAGTATTTATTGTCCTTCCTTAATTACCATGAGAAGGTAATGGTGAGCTTCCTTCTTAAGCTGCTGTGGAATTTGGAGTGTAGGGACACCTGCAGTGCTGTTAGAGAGGAATTTTTTGCCCCAGCGACAGTGAACAAACATGATGTAAACAGTAAACAGAGTTCTGTGAAGGGTTCCGAGCCAAAATGTCGACCTTCCTATTCCTCTGATGCTGCCTGACCTGCTGTGTTCCTCCAGCTTCATACTGTGTTGACCATGGACACTGGAGACATCACTATCCAGGGAGACAACATGAACAACATCACCAGCAAATGAGACAACATTAGCAACAGCAAACGTGATTCCTGCAACAGCAGGGTCAACACACACTACACTGCCTGTGCAGTGTGTCAACTTACCAGTAAGAACAATGAATGCTAAATCTACCAGATGGAGGCACCACGTTTTACTGACTAAGTGATATTATCAGCATTGTTTTATCAGAAAAAAATGCACTTTATAAAAGACTCTACGAAGGGGTTTAGTTTATTTTTAAAAGCCAAGTAGTAACTTAGTTTCAAAAATTTAAATAACTGATGCAGTTACATTGATAGAGGCATTCATTTCAAAAAAGGTAGGAATATCACTTATTCTTGTGATATCTACTAATTTTGTAAATGTTCCAGGGAGCCATTTATATATAAAATCTGCACAGCGTGGAAACAGGCTATTCGGCCCAACAAGTCCACACCAAACGTCCGAACAGCATTCCACCCAGACCCATTCCCTGCCCCATCCCTGTATTTCCCATGGCTAATGCACCTAACCTACGCATCTCTGAACACTATGGGTAATTTAGCATGGCCAATCTACCTAACTTGCACATCTTTGGACTGTGGGAGGAAACCGGAGCACCCGACGGAAACCCATGCAGACATAGGGAGAATATGCAAACTCCACACAGACAGTCGCCCGAGGGTGGAATCAATCTCAGGTTCCTGGTGCTGTGAGGCAGCAGTGCTAACCAATGAACAACATTCACGAGAGTTGGGAACACTCCTATCAAACTGGACATCTAAATACCTGTCAACTCAACTCTGCGTCCCGAGAGAGGACGTCGAAATACAAGTGCCCGGGCGCCAAAGTCAGTAAAGTAAACCCCCATCATTCAGCATGGTTTATTCAACAGCACATTCCAAACCTGCAACTATTACCCTCTAGGAAGACAAGGGCAGCAGATGGCGTGGGAACCACCTGCAAAATCCCATCCAAGCCATCCACCATCCTGACATGGAACTATATCCCCCATCCTTCACTGTTGCTGGGTTAAAACCCTGGAATTTCCTCCCTAACAGCACTATGAGTGCACCTACCCACCACTGACTGAAGGGATTCACCACCACATTCTCAATAGTCATTATGGATGGGCAATTAATGGTGGATTGTCCAACATTATACACATCCTGCAAAAGAATTAAAAATAAATAAATTTGAAATTTGATAATGCAGCATTAAAATATTTTATTTAACAATGCTTTTTTTGACCTTGGAATATCCCAATATTGTACAGCCGATAAACATGCTGTTGCAATTATAAATGGACACAATCATGGAATGTGAATACCAAAAATAATGACAATCTGCGACATCAAGGACTACAAACAGAGTGGTGAAATAACCTGACATTATTTCCAGGATTCAATATTGTTGGGAGAAAGTGCTGACAATAATCAGTTTCTGTTCTATTTTAGATTGCACATAAGGTCTTGTGAGAATGCCAACAAGGGTACCTTAAACATCTTGATCACTACAATGTTATCTCAACATATACTTGAAGATTACGGAAAAATGCAAAAACATTTCAGAACTACTTTTGTTCCTTGAGTATGAAGTTTCGATAATTCAGAGTGACTTCAATATTCGGTTTAATCACTTATTTTTTGCAAACACTGCCTACTTTATGTAATGAACCCAAGCCTTGACAAACCCGAAAATGGATTACAATGACAAGAAAATGACAAGTAAGCATCATAAGCCTTATACTCGATACAAAAGAGGCAAGGACACAGAATGTGCGAGAGTCATTATTCACAATGCTGAGGTCCACATGCCATTAATAGTGTATTTCTAGTTGGACCCTTAATTGTGCTATGGAAGCAATTCATATTGAGGAAAAACACAATCGACTCACACACCAAATCAATAAAGCAACCTCTATTATCTCTCTCCTTATATGCCAAGGGCAGCAGAAGAGAAAGAACACATTTTTTCATTAAATTTTCTGCAGGAAAGTATTGAATTAGGAACTTTCAATGTTCAAGTCTTTAAGAGAAGGTTGATTCTTGTGTCAAATCATTCAACTGAGTGCTGAACTGCATTTGAAAGGACCTATTTTTAAAAGTACATGAGCGTGGTGTGCCACAGAACTAAGAAAGGTTATTTGCTGAATGGTCAGTTGATGCTTACATGATAGCTCCTCTCTATGGTTATGCTACCACTTAAGTTCAAAAATAATTTTAAAATATCAATTCGAGAGAATTGGAAGGAGGAACAAAACATTGAAGACTGCGCACATGTGTACAAGAGGCCACTTTGCCTGCTGCTTCAAACAATCTATGCTCTATGCACCGAAAAACAAAATGATAAAAGCAACACATTTCATGCAATACATACTGCTGCTTCTTTGACCTCAGAATGCCTGAAAACACATTGCAGCTAAAGCATTTTTGAAGTATGGTCCCTGTGGGAATGTAGGCAAAACTGCAGTCAATTTGTAGATGGAAGCCCCACAAACAGTAAAGTGCTAATGGTCAGATAACATGTTAGGAGACAGATAAATATTAGTCAGGGGAGATTTTTCTGTACTTCTTTGAAATAGTGGCAAGAGATGGCATGTGTTCAATTGATGGAAGAGATGGGGATCAGGTCTAACATTTCATTCAAAAGACAGCATCTCCAACAGTGCAGCAGTCTGTAGGTGCTGCACAGCTTAGAATACATGCTTGGTCTTCGGAATAGGTCTTGAGCTCACAATATTCTGACTAGGTAGTAGGAGAGCTGCTAATGTGAAGTACGATATTTGTGTTATTGTCTGTTATACCTTCCACCTGACTGGGAACACACTCCGGTTTCCACCAAAACCAAAGACATTTCATTACAATTGGCCCTTGCTGTTTTATAAAATTTGCAAGCCAAACCTCTAAGACTGAGATGCGGTAAAATTACTGACTGAATGTCAGGAAGTAAATCATTTTACCTCTACAAAATAACCTGGATATGGGCCTTACAAACATACAAAATGAGCAAGAAAAAAACCCCATCCGGCCTAAAAATGCAAGCTTTGTTTATTTGATAGAACAAATGTGCACGCCACCCTCCCCAGTGGTGAATAATCCAATTAAAAAGTGGTCAATTTCTAGAAGAAATCCTGAGAAGTCTGTTCCAACTCTGTAACAACAGGTCAAGCTCAGGAAATGATTTTTTATGCCACATAATTAAGCATTTTAAAAAAAATAAAATCCTCTATTCCAGATATGTGTAATGTCCTTCTGTCTCAGGAACCTGGCAAATCAGTTCATAAAGGTTTGTAAAGGACCCATACTTAGCTCATCCACCTTTCAAAGCAAAGCAGAAATAAAAGCCAAAGGGAAACTGTAGATGTTAACAGTAAAATCAGGAGACCATTCAATTTATTGGGCCTATCCTGGCTTTTTGTTAGACCAATCCAAAACTAAACCCACTGTCTTCCTCTTCGAGTCCAGGATATCCCTTTTCTTTCTGTCTTTAGTAATCTTTCTCTTAAAACATGCAATAATCTCCACCTAAGTAAGTTCCAGTGTCAAAGCATTCCATGTCCCTTTGTGATGTGATTTCACAAAAGCTATCTCGTCCTTTTAATGATAATTTTAAATTGATACCTCACTAATTATTCATTGCAATATTCCCTCACTCAAGCAAGTCATTTCTAGGACTCTTGCAAATGTCACTCTTGAATCAATTACTACGATCAGTGCAGCAA